TATTCCTTGATTGAAGTCAATTTTGCTTGATGACTCTTCTGGACTGAGAATGATCATGTGAAGGGCAGCATCTGTCAAAAGACATGCTCTCAGAGCTTTTGTGTAAGCCTTCCCTTCCATCATCTTCGGAATAGACTTGTTGGCATATACAGTTGCCCACACATTTTCAAGACCACTGTCCTGCATACACTTACACCCAGCTCCAAGAAAGGACATCAGTTGGTGGAATCCACCCAGGCGTAAAGACAGATGTTTGAATTCTTTAGGATTGTCAACCTTTATTTTATACGCCTTTGCAAAGAGAGCTTGGTCAAATGTAATTTGACCACAACACTGGCCAGATTTTCTTCTTTGGAGATCTACAAAAGTCATTGTACTATAAACCGCCTCCATTGTCTGTGGATTTAATGGGATGATAGGATTGTACATGACTGAAGAGCAAACAACTGTACCATCTGTGACCTGAGACATAAAACCCTGCCAACTTGGAGATGAGTTGCTCAACAAGCGGGACACTATCCACAGCATGTCCATACTTTGAAAGTGTGTCATAGGAAGATTGATTGGCTGCAGCTCCTCAAACACAACATTGGGCAGTTGACTTCTGACTGTTTGATGGTAGGGTTTTATGAGTGTACCAAAGGTTCCTGATTTCATAATCTCAGCAGATGTTACTTTCTGTCTGGGGATGGAAATTGTTTAACTTTCTTTGGGTGTTTGACAAGTTATTATTCCCATTACATGTGAAGTATCTTGTCCATTTAATGTATCTTCATTGTGATCAAAGTTGTCTGCGATCCATTGGCAAAATCCTGAAGCAGGCTCAGTTGATTGGTTGACGTTATCTTGATTGACAGCAGCCGATTTCTCGAAGTCAATGACTTGATCATAAGAGGCGCTAAACCCAAGGGAGGAAAGAACATTGAGAAGAACTCTTGACCGTGTAAGGTGGTGGATAAACAGGCCTACACAGAGCATCAGTGTTGAGATGTATGACTGTCCTGAAGCCATCTGAAGTAGAACATGACATAGAGAAATGATAAGAAGTCTCTGTTTGGCAAGAGATGATTGACTCCTTGACTTCGGTAGAATTCTTTCAATGAGACTGAGGAGAAGCGGCGGTACCTGCTCTTCAAGTTTGTCCACATTGATGTCACTGGGTGAATGATATTCTTGGGTCGAAGATTCATCCTGAACTTGACTCCACTTGCTTATTTCATCTCTGAGGATGGATCCAGCTTTCTTTATAATCTTCTTATCTTCAGTTTCCTTTTGAATGTCAGTTTGAGTGTAAGATCCATGAAGAATGGAAGATGCTGTACTGTTGAAAGTGATAACATTTGGTTTTCCATCTATCTCAGAAAATGTTATTTGATCTCCAAATGTATCAATCAGTCTCCTCTTGAGGTGTTTAATGGAATATGGTTCAGTTTCAGGAGATAGATAGGATGAAAGTTCCCTGTGCACATCTTGGATTGTGAACTGCTGATAGTTATGATTATCTTCCTCAAGCCATCTGCACAACTTGATAAAGGCTCTGTTGTTTCCCTGGTCAGAGTTACGTGAATTGGTCTTGCTTTGACTGTGTTTGATGTTCCTGGGGGATGTAAATACCTGAAGACACTGTCTATGGTATCTGGCCTCAACTGCTCTTATATCTCCTGCATACAAAATACGGGCTTTGACAGTTGATGCATCATCATCTTGTCTTTTACTACAAACATTTAAGAAAGTTTGTAGAAGAATAGATTTTTTGTCATTATTTATGATTTCAACTTTGCTAACATCATGACGGTGAGGATGTTTTTGTAATTCGATGGAGTCAATCTTCATTCCACAGATCAAGCAACAAGTGTCATAATCAAAATTATTTTCTGAATTTCTTAGGATACGAATAGGAGTGATGGACTGAGCTGCCTTAACGTTTTTCTTTGCAGTGTATGATTTTCCACAATTTTCATGAACGTGATGATTGTCTGACTGTGAAAGATATTCAAGGAGGTCATCCTTTCTTAGTTCAGAAACACTCAGCAGTGAAAGAATTCCCTTGCTTGTAAGCTTCACTGTAGCATCAGGTTTCTTACAAATGATGCAGAAAGACATGCCTGAAACATTAAAAAATAATTCATTAATATTTCAAATGTTTTCAAAATCATCAAAATTTTGCTTATATGAATGAACATTTTACTAGTCAACAAGGAACAGTTGACTTTATTTGTTTGATATGGGAGGTAACTCTTATAATGTTTGTGAGAATTTATAACATGTGCTTCAGGCAAAGCTCAGGGGAATTTTAAAAATATGAGCATAACAAAATGGTATGAGCTTAATTTCTATGTTTTTATGATTCATCTTTGTATTTTAGAAATGGTAAACTTGTAAATATTTTAATTAATTTATGTACATATTTTAAGTTTTACTGAAAAGAAATTCCAATGGCATCACAATTTCCACTCGCTTAGTGCATTCGGTAATGTTTTTCTAATTTCATTTCTTAATTAAATCATAATTTCTATTAATTTTTGGAAATATTAAAACTTGGAATCCTACTGTTTGGACAGTGTTTTGCAGGTGTAACATATCTGCTTTTCATTGGTACTTTGTGAACTAATTCTAATTTTTTAACAGATCAAAGAGACAAATACACCAAAATAAAATAAGCCTATCCAAATCTGTTTTCATCAATATACGCATGATAACCATGTCTTGTGTAGTGTACAATAATATCTTCATTGATAATCTATATTTGAAATATGTTTTTCACTATCATTGACTACAAATTACTCAAAGATTTAATTATCAACAGACGCTTTCATATTATGTAATGAGTCGGAGGGAAAATAGCATCAGTAGGAGTGCATTGGTAGTTTCTGCAGTGGTTCCATATATTTATATATATTTTTTTAAAGTAATATTTCATTCTAGATTTGATTGCATCTACTCCATCACCATATGACAAGAAAAACTAGTAGGAAAACCATAACATTACATGACCTTGAAGCCTAAAATTTCAATATCAAGTCTATCTATCTTGTTCAATTTTTCATTGATCAAACATGACTATTTTGAAGTTATTTCTCAATACCATATGTCTCAATGCCTTTTAACAGTTGTCAAAGCTTATTTCCCCATGGAAACTTTCTTAAAACTCACAGTACTTACCTTGTATGTCAAATTTCACCGCTTCAAAACTTCTGTTGTCACAACAATGTCGGCCATTTTGGCTGTTACTATGAAGGGAGATAATATTAGTCATACAACTGATGTTATATGTAAGGAACCTCAGCACATCACCGAGGTACATTTTCAAGTGGTCATAACTTTTTCTGCCCAAGGTTGATTTTGGTTGGGTTTTTTTCTCAGCATCACAGGAACCTATAAATCATTTTAAGACACAAATTTGCTTGTTATACTAAATGTCCGGGTCAACTTAATTTCATGTCGATTTCTACTGGACTACATCTACCTTTATGAGGAAACTCGCCTCCACAGTAGTAACAATGTTTACCTGAATTATTTGAGTTGTTCTGTGGGTATGATTGTTTACATTCACATGTGTTCCTAGCATTACCATGTCTTGATTTGCTTCTATGATGAGAGTTGTGTCTGCTACGATGTCTTGAACCACTGAATCTTTTTCTACATCTACCACTTGAGACGAAATTTTGATTACGATTTTTCAGCATTTGGTGCTTGGGATTCACTTAGTTCCAATGATTTTCCTACATTCAGCAGGTCTCGAAGGTTTAGATTTTCTCGCAATGCTTTTCTACGCAGTCTCTGTGAAGTACATCCTATGACAGTTTGAGCGGCATCAACATCGGTATATTCACATGTTTTGGCAAGTTTTCCGAGTCTTGTGCAATACATGTCGATACTTTCTGATTCAAATTGCTTGACCATGCGAAATGTATGGAGCTCAAAAGCTGTGTTTATAATTGGCGTGAAATATTCAGTGAGCTTTTCTTTGGCTAGATCATACACATCGTCTGCTCCCGTGTCTAGAAGAGTGTCGAAAATATCATCAACGTCTGGCCCTGCATAATGTAGTAATAATGCACGCTTGCGAGTGTTATCAGTACTGTCTAATACAAGCAATAATCGTTCAAACCTGGCCATGTATTTTGTCCAGCAGGGTCCAGCGTTTCAGTCAGTGTGCACAGGGAAAGTTGGTAGACTTGTAGACATCTTGAAACACACAGTTGATAGTATTGTGTAAGTCCCAGTATTGAAATGTTCCAAGAACAAAGCATTGAACTAAGAAGCTACCTGTACTGTACTGTACTACTGAGGTAAAGTCTGTAAACATAATTCTGGGAATAAGAACATGAAACAAAGAAAGAAAAAAAAGAACAAAGCATTGTAGAACGAAAACACTCTTTATCTTCAGGGTATCAAATACAAGGACTTGTACATGACATGGTGCGACCGTCTGTAATGGTCGTCTGTTTCATAGTGTGTTCTACGTCATGGATACTTCCATATGACGTTACTGTTTTTAGTGTAGGACCTTTAACCTTAGCCTTTGACCTTATAAGATAGAAGGTCACGACACTACAGATATTACATCATCAAAGTGACCTAATTTTGTTTCTTACCAATTCAAGCATAATAATGTCATATTTAGTGATTTCTGCTATGGCATCAGGTTTGAGTAGCATATATTTTTGTCGTTCAACTGATACTGAGACATCAACATTACTGGATGTAGCTGATACACTGGATTATCACAGGCAGAGTTCGGGACACCGGGTGTTCGCCATGTTACTTCACGGCCACGGGCGATTTTCTTTAGTATGCTGTGCTGCTGCTCCTGGTGCAGAATATTAAATCACACACCTCCCGTGTTTTGAGCCATATCAAGCTATGACCTTGCCCGACGAAAGGCGACATATATACCCAGATACAACATTAGAGAGAAAGGATGATATCAGATTTAAGAAGATTTAATATTCTTACATTACATTAAAATGACAAAATATATTTTCAACATTTTACAGGTTTCAAAGAGGCGAGAGTGTATTTCCAGATCCACGAGCCAGAAGTGAATTATCTCTTGGACTCTGCCACTATACAGGAAGTTCCTCACATTTCCAACCTAAAGTCTGAAACAAACGGCAGAATTGACCAGCTACGCAAAGCCAACATCAATATCAGGTATCTTGACATGTTCAGTAGTCCCTGGGAATTCTTCTCCAGGCAGTCAGGCACAACAAAATAATTATTATAGGATATTTATATAGCACACATATCCAAGCAACTAGCACATGCTCAAGGCGCTTAAGTGTTCCTTGATGAACGGATGTCTTTTTTCTGGCATTGTTTTAACCAACTCAACTCCCTGGGGAGTATTCAACTCATGCAGCCTGTTAAGCGCAGAGAGTTATCACACAGCCTCATCCTCACAAGGTACCCATTTGCAGCTGTGTGAACTGGGACATCGTCACAGCAATTTGTCCAGTGATACTGCACGTTACTCGTTACAATACCCTCAACTAGGTGTCTGCACGTGTTCGTGTGTCCACTATCTGGTCACCTACCATCGGATGAGTGGGCTTTTTAAGTGCACAGAGTTGTGTACTGCACACTAGGTGTTGTGACAACACTGAAAGAGCCTTCAAGTAATGTTAGCTCAAAGGTTTTTACACCCGGTCACAAGTGGAAATCGATCCAGGCACCTTTCGTTTACGAGCGCGGCGCCTTAGACACCCTATAATCCTGCATGATTTGGAAGTGGAGAGATGCATGTCGAGTCCCATTTAGTTCAGAACTCATTAAGTCAATGCCGATGGTTCTAAATTCTTCTTGAAGTGTACTGAAATGTTTTGGGAATAATTCCTGCACCCAGTGAATTGTTGTAAGACGAACCTTATTGTATTTGTTGGTTAAGGTCGAACCCATATGACGCATTCTGTAATTTATCGAGTCTACACGTGACAATCCAATGATTGACATCATGAGCATCGATCTACTCAATGTGGACACGGTGACATTCATCAACCAAGTCAGCCTGCCTGACCATCCAGTCCATTAGCCTCCTCCTGCCGCAGGCATGGATTGTTAAAGATCACTTCCAACCCGGATATCACGGGATAGCAGGATGCAGTATAACGAAGGATACGTTGTTTGTTGTAGTGTGTAAATATCCTCTGTTGTCAGGGTAACGGACAACCATGTACATCCATCTGGTCTTACTGTAGAGGTGAGTGGCACTGAATGTTTGTTGACACATACATTTTTAATCATGTGACCAAAAATAGTGATACACCACCCAGAATGTCACGCAGCAGGCACAGGGCCAACAGAACGAACGAGACAGGGGCTGTAGTCCAAATCAAGTTGTTGTGTCTGTGTAACGTCCTAATTGTGAATCTACATAACATGGCGATATGTCTAATTTTAGTTTATAAAATGCAACAACCTGCTTTGGTGATGCCAACAGCAATCCCGCCTCCCAAACGAACTTCAAATGAGTAGGTTGTTTCTTTCCATTGGTTACAAGACCAATGAGTGCCATGTCATGTTTAGACTAGTGTCTTTCTTCGCGAAATCTTCCACTGCCTGTCTGCTCCTGGAACGCAGTGAAATAAAGCTAACGTGAAATAAATAAACGCATTCAAAGTAACAGACAGCTGTGGTGTTGATATTTGGTATGTATGTCTTTTTTCAGATATGAAATACATAATAAAGTGTCACTTAATTCATCAGTGCGTTTTTTATCAGTTACGTATGTTGCTAACAAGCTGAGATAACTCATTACCCAGATACAGAATAATCTAGTGCTTCGATTATCTTATCTACTTTACAGAATCACAAGTAAAGTTTAGGAAACATATTTCGACCACTTTCCTCTTTATTCTGATGCTGGTAGGCTTAACCCATTTCAAACATTTCAAATAACATTGCATAAAGTGATAGATTGTTATTTGAATTTCACTGTTTCCTATTTAGTTTTAAAGAAGGATAACACTATATGCATGAACAACTTCTTCATTGCATTGAGAGCGACTTGTCATTGTTGGTTATAGCACAGTTATAACGCAATTGATGAATCGCTCCAACTTCTAAATGCCTCGAGAAGACGTTACTTAGTTTTAAACTTTATGCAATACTGTATTGATTACGTCAGAGAAAGGAAATGCATAATGGGACAGATCAACTGTGTTTCCAGGTCCACCAAACAAGCAGCGAGTTCGGTTGGGGTTCTGCCGTGGATGCCAATGACATCACAGACTCACAACACAAGAAATATCAGGACTACTTCTATGACAATTTTGAGTGGGCTGTTCTGGAGAATGCTCTAAAGTGGTACTCAATGGAGCCCCAGCAGGTAAGAACATATTGTAAACATCATTCTATCTGAGTGTAATATATACTGAGGGAAAAAAAATGGGATCACATGAAAGGATTAAGTGTTCCCTTATTTTTTTCCAGGTTTATTCACAAGCTATGCGATACAAAGTTTGTGAAGAAACCTCGAAACAAAATAAAGGAACACCTGTGTTTTCATGTGGTCCCTTTTTTTTCCCCTCAGTATATTTTGGCAGTACCATCATCATTCTCTGTCAGATTTGTTCTGTTTTAAGTTGGCGGGATTATTTGAAATATGATTTTATTTGCAGGGTCAAAACAATGTTGCTCTGCCGAACAAAGCTGTCAACACATTGCGATCAAAAGGGTATTTATGCTGAGTGTCACTCGCGTAATGACAATGTGTAGATCCTGGTCAGCAAAGCATATAATATATAGAAAACACTCAAAACTCCTTTTAATCGTCTGGAAACCAGTCAGTTCCCTTGTTGTAAGATCATGAGCATTGCTCTTCACTACTGGGATACAATGACATGTGTCGACCAAGTCAGCGAGTCTGACTATCCGATCCAGGTAGATGTCTCTTACGACAAACATGGCCTTTTGGGTTTGCTGAAGATCAATTCTAACCCGCATCTATGGGAACCGGTACATAGTTGAGACTGATTGTGTACTGTCAAGTGAAGAAATATAATATGAATTCGAACTCACGAATGGTGTCCGTCTTGAAGGGATGCAACTGAATGCACGCAACTCTTCACAGAAAATTGCTGAGCCATTCTCCAAACATAAAAGGATTGCGGATAAATTTAGAAGCGGATCTAAAATATATTAACAGCTCGCTGTAAATATCCCAAACTGTAAATCTCAACGCATGTTATTGGGGTTTTTCAGGATCAAAGTGAGAGGACATAACATATTTTGGGCTGTACCCAAATGGGCACCTAAGTGGCAGTCCCAGATATCTGCATCAGCTCTGAAGAAAGAGATGCAGTACAGGATTGGTGAAAGTGTTGGCTACTTCAAGGGAAGGTGAGTTCGACATGGGATGACTATCAGGACGATATGCAGTAATAGTCGCGGAGGGCGACATACAGTGATAGTCGGAGCTTCATGGGCTGTAATGATACACTGGCAAGGCTCACTTCAACCATAGTAAGTCAACCTTACTTTTGGCACCCAGTATTTAGCGACATAAATCCTCTATGTATATTTGCATATGTTGAAAATGAGATATATGTTCTGTGTATCATTTGACCTAAGTAGAAACATGTTTTAGGGTTTATCAGCCCAAATTAATGATTGTTCCTTCGCTGCTATCAGGGATTGTGTTCCTGCCATAGCATGTTGGACAGATTTCGGTATAAAGCATGTGAAGTCAATTGTAGCTCAACAATACCAAATTAGTGGGAATAGAAAATATTGAGGCTTTCGAAGAAAACATGGAAACACTTTGAAATAGGTTGGACATTAGCATTTAAGCTTATTGATAACACGGGCAAACCCAAACTCTGCCAATGTGTAAAATGATAAATTCAACAAAAAGATTAACTTAGCAGCATAGGCGAATGGGTTACCCTCGTCCCCAGCAATCGCAAGGAATTGCCTAATATCCCTCGTGCCCACATCCAACGCACATACATGAACGCATGAACGCATGTCTCAGCACACGCATACGTACACACACGTACGCACACATACAGTAGTATACAGAATGGGGGAACTAGACTACTGACCCTCATCAAACCCTTTCGTCCGAATTCCACTCCTAACCCCCACACAAAAGAACGACCCAAATTTAGTGAAACACCAAATGATGTCCCGCTGAATTTAACCTGTTTTTTTTGCTGGGGTTGAGAATCAGAATTGGTATGAAAGGATTTCATGACTTGATGGCTCCAGTTGTCCCATTGTGTATACTACTGTATGATTTCTTGCGTGTCTATAACATGAAGAAGAAATAATCAGGGAAACTTTAACGAAAATTACACCCATACATATGACGAAGGATGACTGGAGAGCTCATAAGAAGTCTAAGGATAGGTTTATGCCAAGACGCTACCTGTGTTGCGACCAGTGATTGCACTGACTGCAAACATTTTGGCGACTAATTGCCCCTTTGTGTTTATATCAAATCAGAATTTTCATTTTTATGGCGACATGGCTGAGACTGGAGCGATCGGTCTTATGTATTGACTTGCATCTTGGGTATGGGTAGTAAGATTGTGTTTGCAATCAGTTGCGAGTGTTGTGATACCATGCGAGTTTATTTCGACTCCAGTACGACCATTAGGACCTTTTAGAAGACCGCAATGAGAACTATGCGACGATTCCAATTGAGAGTCTTAGTGAGTGCGCTCAATAAATTGTATAATAGGACGGGTACCGTCTGCGATCTCGCCATTCGTTGACTGACAAGCACTCGAAACACTCTGGAAAAGATTGATATTGACTCTGGTGATATCGTCTTGGCCCTTGTCCTGCATGCTAAAACCGAAGCACAATTGAATGAAGTTATTAACTACACCTTGGCAATGATCAGAAAACATGAAAGAAGAAGAAGGCAATGCCGACAGATGTGGGTCTGAAACTGGCTGACTCCTATGGCGAGACAGGAACACTGTCATCACTACCACCTTGTCCAGAGGTTGAAGCAGGACAATCCAAATCAGTTCAAAAACTGTATTGAGGATGCCCGTTGAGCTGTTTGAAGAAATTTTCCAGAAATTAGGGCCCAGCATTAAAGGAAAGGCAACACTTACAGACCCTCTTTGGAAGCAAGGTTGAAACTGTCATTGACATTTGTGTAGTATCCAAGCATGGCCTACAGCTACAGGGTGAGCATCATTAATGCACTGCCTGGTACCCCAAGTTTTCCGGGCTATCATAAATGCCTACAGAGACGAGGTATTCAAGACTACTACTACACCAGAAGAGTGGAAGGAAATAGCGAACTTAGATGACAAGTGCCTCATGCCATAGGGGCCCTGGATGGAAAACACATCAAACTCCGTGCACCTCCAATGAGTGGAAGCGACTACTGGTGTGTCTGCAAAAACTGATACTCCATGGTTCTCCTGGCGCTTGTGGACTACTACTTGTCATGACGTTTCGAAGTATGTTCTTACTCCTTCATCGGGTGAATTAAACTATTAGGAACAAACAGCTGTACATGTTGAAACAACAACAGTATAACAAAGGAAACCAGTAGTTAATTGGTGGATGGACAAGTGATGCCAGGGATTGTTAACCCAGGCATGATTGATAAGAAAAACAAATAGAAGCCAGCGGGATATAATTAGCACTAACTGGGTGGAAGGACAAAAGGAAGCCAGGGATTGTTAATCCAGGCATAGTTGATGAGGTAACAATAGTGGCATATAACAGGGTGGTAAGAACACAAGTGGAAGCCAGGCCTCATAGTAATAAATACAAGGACAAAGAGACCAGCAGTGATGGTAAATTAAATTAATAAGTCCCAAGGGCTAGGCAGATATGTTCCCTGGTCACGATTGCTTGCTGGTTGGCTTCCTCTGATGTCTATGGCCTCTTGCAATTTTCTTTGCCGCCAGTTGTTGTTGTTGACAGATATGGCTTTGGTGGCTTCCCATACGATGGCGAGGTCCTGGTTCTTGTTGATGTGTTCAGAAACAGCAGATTTGAGGTTGAGTTTGTTGACAGATGCTTGATGTTCTTTGAGTCTGGTGTTAAGGGGCCTGAGGGTTTCGCCGATGTATGTGTCACCACAATTGCAGAGAATTTGATATACACATCCTCTGGGATTGGGTGTTGAGAACCAGGGAACATATCTGCCTAGCGCTTCACAATAAAGAAGTTGTCATCTATAAGCAAACTCTTGTCTTGGTGCAAACAATTTGTATTAATGGGCAATGAGCCAGACTTTACCCACTGGGGAATTTGAATGGACCTCCCCTGATATTGACGTGAATAGTATCTCACCAGATTCGAACAAAGGCTACATACTATGGAATACTCTAAAGAATTACATGAGTCGCACAACAGTTATCCAGTTGCTCCCAAACGATTAAAGCTTGATAAAGATTGGATGTCTGAATATCAGAGAAACTTGTTAGGAAATAATAAATTAGCCAACATGGAAAAACTCGTACCAAACTTGATGCATTTATGTTCATGGGTAACAAGTTGTATCAACATAAACCAAGAGAAAATGAACTCTTTTGTTCTTGTTTTGATTCAAACATTGAATAAGGAAACAATTAATTCATCTGAACAAAAAAAAAATGTGTACTCAGTGAAGCGTACTTCACACTGTTTACGCCTGCTACGTGTTAAAAAAAGGCTGTGGTTGACCAGGAATCGGAAGTAAGGCTAACACTTTCTCACCACAAATGAAATTTCTCTCATTTGACTTTCTGTGATAATTTAACTCAACATCCTCGCCCTGCACACTAATAAGATGCTCTCTGGAACGAAAGTGATCACCACCTGACAAAATATCAGACTTATCAAGAAGACCTGAAAAGTTATTACTCTTTGAAGATAAGTCATCAGCCTTTACCTCATTTAAAGAATGATCCATGACAGTACCTGACAAGTCGTAAATGGAATCATTCGGCAAAGAAGTCTTGGAGGAAATGCCTTTTGACATTGAACGAGTCACTGCACAAAAAGGAAAAATACCCGGAAATTCATCCTCCAACTTTTCTGTACTAACTGAACTCTCCGGAGAAATAGTGACAATTGGATCAGCACCAAGTTTGGCCCCCCTAAGATCATTGCCGATCAACAAATCGACACCTGTAACTGGTAGAGAGTCAAGAGCACCAACTGTCACCTTACCAGAAATCAGATCTGAAGTCACATTCACAAAATGGAGAGGAGCAGAAGAATAGCCACCTATACCCTGAAGCAAAGATCCGAGTTCGCTGAAGACTCATCAGAAAAAAGGCAAAATACCCTTCAAAATCAGAGATTGAAGAGCTCCAGTATCATGATAATTAAGGGCCGTGGGGTAGGATCATCTCCAATAAGCGACACAGAACCCTTAGAAAGAAAGGGCAAATACTCCTTCCGAGCTACATAATCTGGGGACTTACTCTCACACAAAAAAAAAACTCTCCTCAGAACCACCTGGAAAGAAAGGCTTAGGTGCGATAGACACAAACCCAATTGGGGAACCTGCAGCCTGATTTTTAAACTGGAGTTTGTAACATGCAGAAATCAAATGACCTGCATTCGTACAATATGCACAAACAGGATCAGAACCACTGGAAGTCTTAGACTGAAAAGAACGTGACTGCTTGTCAGAAGAATTTGATCCTGTTCTAACACCATTGTAACCTGCATGTCCTGAAGTCTTACCCGGGGACAAGCCCTTTTGGCCACAAAACTTGGTATTACCCAGAACTAAAAGAACTCTTGTGAGTCAAACAATAATCATCTGCCAACATCGCTGCCCCATGTAAGTCACCAACCTTATGTTCATCCAAATAAGTCTTGAGATGGAATGAACACTCTGCTTGAAATCCTCCATCAAAACTTACTGTCTCAAACCATCAAAATCTGTGACTTCCTCAGACCTGCACCATCTGTCAAACAAAATTTCCTTTTCTCGAGCAAACTCTACAAAAGTCTCATTGTCCACTTTTATGAGCATTTCTGAATATCTGACGATAAGCTTCAGGCACTAACTCATAAGCTTTTAAAAGTGTCCTTTTGATAAGATCATAGTCTGACATTTGCTGTATCCACAAGGCTGAATAAGCATCCTGAGCTTTACCCTTAACAGTTTGCAGTAGCATAGTCCATGACTCCCTAGGTCTCTTGAGGATTTCAGCAACTTTTTCAAAATGTAGAAAGTATTTGTCTACTTCTTTCGCAATGAAAGGGGGTACCAGTCTGGCATGCCTTGCAATGTCAAAAAAGGAAGAATTTGAGGGAGGAGTTTTCAAGCATTTTTAGTTCAATTTCTCTGTCAATTTCCAGATTTCTTTGATCAATTTCCAATATTCTCAATTCCATTTCCTTTCTTTCTCTTTCTCTTTCTATTTCCATCCTTTTTAGCTATTTTCTTCTTTTTGAATTTGTAACTGAATATCAAGTTTTTTCTTCTCCAAGTTTTCTGAATTTTCTTCAACACAATTTTCAAAAGCTGAAATTTCCTCATAGCAGGTTTGGCCTCAAGTTTGAAATGTGACGAAATTTGCAATAAATCTGATTTGCGCAGTTCACTGACTGTCTCAGGGTCAGTGGACTTAAGAAACTTCTCAATTCCAAACACCATTTTGCTGGTTTCACAATTACCTTGTTGCAAAATTGCAGAAATTTAAAATATTTTTCACAATAGGTCTCAAATGTCCAATGAATTCTATCCCGGACGAGCCCCCAATTTTGTTTCAGGAGAAAATAAGGTTTAAGAGTCCCCTTTGAACCAACAAAATAGAACACAGGCAAATCTAAAATATTCAATAATATATTGAACAAACAATGAGCAATGCGATTGAGTCACAAATCTAAAGTAATGGGTCACAAATATCAAATATTAACTCACCAGAGTCTTGACATTTACAGTGAGAGCAGATATACTGAATGAAGGTTGTTTACAATGACATATGTTGAATATAGACGAGCACAGTCAGCCTTGAAATGTAGGTCAGACGATGACGATGGCAGACAGATGTACACAAATCCAGTCATGTAACAAAGTCTGTGTGTTACGTAGTCCCATCGCACAACACAACAACCAGCCTTTATATAGCTCTTACACAGTTCTCGAGCATTCTAGTAAAGTTGGGCAGCATCACTATCCACTTAGATCATTAGGCTATTTTCTTGAACATATGACCGGGGCAAAACAAAGCCAAGGGAGGCAACTCTGGAGCACTATCAAAAAGGCATACCGCTAAAATATACTATTGCCATTAAACATACATGATGCAAGATGTGAGCTGCAACCAACACTCAAAACTTTAAACATTGTGACCTGTAATAATTATCACTTACTCGGTGATAATGCAAATTACAAAAAACACACTCTCCAAACATGCCACATAATACCCATTCAAAATAATACAATGAGACATTGGGATAAAACATTTGTTTACTTTTGAATTCATACATGTTTTGAGTAAGTTAAAGAACAATCTGTACAGTTCACAAAACGTACACTTCAATTTCATCAACGTGTTTTATCATTTTAAGTAATGATTCTGATAGAAATATTCCGATGAAATTCATGAAACACTTTCAGTAATTTACATTAGTGTGAAAAAGTGGCATGAGCGACAATGAAATCCATAGAGAGAGCATTCCTCTGCTCCCATGCAGAAATTCAAACTGTCATCAACACTATATTTTTGGTTTCCCATGTGACGTCAGGGACCATTCTAACTGTCAATTTAACGTAAAATACAAAACGTGAATTACATTTTGTTTATCAAAAGTGATCATCGGGATTCTGCGGTTGTGTTTCAGCGTTGATGTTGTATTAAACTATAGAACGAAATGCTGTTTCAAAGTAACCAATGGTCCTATAACGCTTCGCGGCAACATAACAATACCATCACCATCATGTATGATTATGTTCTTAGAGAGTCGGTCTCTAAAACGAACATAAATGGTCTGTGTTCAACTAACCTGTATCATTTGTGGACATAACATGCTTGTTATCTAACATATGTCATCTCATGCTTCCAATAATATATGTTTTGGTATTGTAACAGTTTCTAGTATTTAGTTATGGGAAATACAATCTGGCATAATGTAAATGAGACGTGTGCTGTCAACAACTGTTTATTGCTTACATTACAATTTTGTATGTTTGCACACGCAAATTTGATGTTGTTTCTTCATAAACAGTTCCAGATTGCTTTCAAAACTTAACTATTCGTGGTAGCGGTGGTCATCTTAGAGGCAGCTTTTATTCACGGGTACTCGCTCACCGACACCCGAAAAAACGTACCCTCTACCCATGTCTGTCAATTCATGCTAAGCATTTGTTCAAATGATTTGTTAGTTTTCTTGCCTTTCGTGTTTCAGACAATTTACTTGTTAGTATTAATGTATACATATAAAGATCAAAAAGTGCTTTTGGTTTCAAGAATCACATCTTGCAAACTCTTCGACTGCAATTGTCCACTTTTATTGAGAATGTCTAATGAATGTTAAGTTAGCTAGGTCAAACCAGGAAGAAAGACTAAGGAAAATGATAGCCAGCCCGGCCTTTAAGAGAAGTATGATATTTGATAAAGTAGCATGACACATGAATAAGTGTGGCATAAAATTCAACAGACCAGTATATGTCAGCATGAATATTCTCGACTTATCCAAACACTTGATGTATAACTTACTGCAATGAACTCAAGAAGCAATATGCAACAGATGCGAGGTTTTCTACACTGACACACCGATTCCTTGTTGGTGGAAATTCAAACCAAGTACGTGTATGTGGACATGGCGGAACAAATAGACATGTACGATACCCCAAAGACCACGCCCTACACAGTGTAGTGAAAAAAACAGTGCTTGGAAAGATACTGATATACCTATTACGGAATACATCGGATTAAGACCTAAAATATATTCCATACAGAAAGCCAACCATGATGAGATAAAAAAGACTAAAGGTGTGAAGAAATGTTTCGTGAAAAAACAAATAAAACAAAAACAATCCAAAATGAATGCTTTGAAAACTGACAAGCATAGGATATATGGTTTAAGGTTGAACAAAACATCATTGCCGCCCATGGATGCAAAAAGATGGAGGAAGTTTGATATTTAAACTAATTAGGTACATCAGACTGACCACTTTTTTCTTCTGTGGAAAACGTTGAAATGTTGCTAGTCGTTGTAAAGAGGCTGAGCCATTAACCACAAAAGATTCTACCAAGGTGGCTAATGCGCTGTCGCATATTTACAAACGTAGTCCTTTGAAGTTGCTTAAAGAATTTGAGGTCATTATGGGATGCAACTTCATGGGATCGGTGTCACAGCTACTAACAAAGCACAAGGTCAGGCACAGAATAGTGGGGGCTGATCGAAGCCAAGCTCTTGTCGAAAGATTTAATTGAACATTTGCTTGTTTGGGTACCAGTATGGGCAAGAGATGGTAATGCCAGATAAACGATCAACAGAATGGGTGACACGTTTACCCTGAGTTGTGTCAGCGTTATATAATGAGGTGACTAGATTAATCGTTTAGAAAACATCCGATGCCATTAAAATTAAATCTGTTACATCAGACTCATCTGCACCACACACGGGTAAAGACGGGAAACTGGCAGGTCGGGCAGGTCAGTGATGTATTTATACCAGCCGGGTGAACTCGAGAAAGGTCTGCACCGCCCCAGTGACACAGTTTGGTCTATCAAAACATACAGTACTGATCAAATGAATATGAAGGAAGACGAACAATATTTGTATTACCTGAAGGACGGGCCAGGCAGGGGATTTGTGTGAGAAGAATTACTCATAGTACCCAGGGAATACGGTATTACCCCCTAGGTAGTATAAACAATGGGGGAACTGGAGCCACTCACACTCATCAAACCCTTTCACCCCACTTACGTTCCTCGACTCCACAAAAAAAGGTCAGATGTTGCTGGACATCATTTGGTGTTCCACTAAACTTGAGTTACTTGTTTGTGGAGGCTAGGAGCGCAATTGAGACGAAAGGGCTTGATGAGGGTCAGTGGTCCAGTTCCCCCATTGTGTATACTACTCATACACATATTCTCACAGGCGCACGCGAACACATACTAACACACGCATTTCATCAACATTATCTTCCAGGTTGCCTCACTGGGACGTAAATAACGAAAACACTCATGGCGACTTCTATGCCCAACGTCTACACGACCCTGACATCACCATGTGGATGTTCAGGGAGGCTCACAACGCTGACCCAAGCACTCTACTCTTCCTCAACGACTATGACATCGTGAGCGGACATGGGGCCACCACGGTAGGTTGCGCAGCTGCATCGTATGTGCAAGTTGTCTACATGTTACAAATGCAAAGGGATTTGCGTGGAAATGAATCAGTAATGATCCGAGAGCACCTAATGGCTTTAGTTGATTGTAATGGAATGAACTGAGGTCGTGATCAAAGTACTGGTCTGTGTGTACAATTAGTAAACATAGGTGGAATGTAGCTCTGTCTCAACTCACCAAATCACATACCAAAATAACATGATATTCATCTTCAGCAGCATTATGACTACAATATTTACAGTATCCATCATATGTACAAAGTTGACACCTTTCTCTCTCTTGACAGGGATATGAAGACCAAGCTCAGTATCTACGCAGTAAGGGTGTTCCTGTACAGAGAATAGGCATTCAGTCTCACCTTAGTGGAGGAGGACTTGACATCGACGCAATCAAGGTGCTTGTGCTAAGGTTGTAAGGCACACCATAGTCTTTTTATGCTAGCTCATGTCTCCCTGTAATATAACTTTCAAATGTTTACAGCATCGGTTGGACGAGGTGGCTCGTGCAGGTCTGAAGATGTGGATCACAGAGCTGGATATTAATGATGGCAATGAAAACACAAAGGCTGATAAGTATGAGCAGGTGATGCGACTGTACTTCAGTCATCCTGCCATAGAGGGAATCATGTTCTGGGGATACTGGGATGGCAGACATTGGCTACCAAATGCTGCTCTTGCTAACGGTCCAAATGTAACAGTGAGTACTTCAACTTGGACAAGTGAATGTTTTTCACCTTTCACTTTCAACCTTTCGGACTTTATATATTCAAATCAGATCTTCTAACCATAAGCATCCACTCTACTTCACCTCATGGTACATATGATGGCTGAAACGTCGGGACACTTCCTATGCTTAATAGTGAATGTGGAATGGAGTCTGGGATAAAAATCGCCAAGTTTGCACTGGGGACGTCCGTTGCACCTTCGCGTTCAGCTGTTTCTACTTGTCTGTATTTGTGCAGGTTCTGTATTGCTAGTTCCTTCTGACCATTTTATGGACCAGGGTCTGGTATGAACAGTAATAGACCAGGAAAGTATTTCTATCAATGCCGCAATACTCGGGAGACTGGTAAGGGTAATTTGATTTTACTCATAAAAATGTAATATGTAAAGGTCCGAGGTTTGTCATTTGGTGGGATACGTGGTTGAACGTTTTCTCAACTGAAGGGTACATCATGTAAATATTCAGTGTAAATATGTGGATCATGCCGCAAACCTGGAGCTAGACTTGATGTAACTAATGTCCAGAATTATCAACGGATGGTACAAATTGAATAAGACACGCGCCATTTCACCCCCTAATTATGCTATTGATTACACACTCGCATCTGATTTATAGAATGAGGAAAACATTCACTATGCTTTCTCACTGAGTAATAGTGCCACGGACACTTGCACCGTGCTTCAAACTTCTATGTGAACCATCCATGTAATGAACTGTACATACACATACCTTTAATCATATGTGCATCTTCGCACCTGCTATCAGTCCTCGATGAATGACATCGTCGTTGCCTGTCCGATGAAGTACCTCGGTCAAGGTCACACAAGAAATATAGCGTTTTGACTGGCGGACACGCACCGGTTTGACTGGTGTGTGGCTTGGTCTTTGCCGGGGATATTATGTCGCCTTTTGGGCATCATCAAACAGTGGATAGCACTCCGTGCCTTCCAGGTTGTGTTTACGTGCCTTCTTCGTGCCAAACTATTTTCAATTGCATGTTCTAGTCTTAGTCCCTTCCACACAGCCAAACGCTGCAGGACGGAGGGTAAAACAGCTGATCAAGGGGGAGTGGAGGACCAACGAGTCCCACCCAGTCAGTGAGGGCCAGAACCTCCGAGTGAGAGGATTCAAGGGCGGTTACACAGTGCAGGTCAAACACAACGGAAATGTCATCAAAACTGAACACTTCACTCTGGGTGGCAACGGTGTTGATCTGACCATCAATCTGTCGGGATCAGGTGGGTACTACATACATCAAATTAAATCATGTACACCTTCGATAATATGAACTGTCAGGTGAATGAATTGAGGGAGTTAATACATCCTAATTTACGTAAACCTTCAAACAATGATTCAGTATTTATTGCCGGACTCCTATTTAACACTAAATACCGGTGTGCAAAGGTGTATTCCACCGTAGTAAGCGCATATGATTTGTAACAGACAACATTAAAATAACACAAAGGGCCTGAATGATTGTAAGTAGTAGTATACACAATGGCGGTACGGGAACGCAAAGCAAAAATAATGATAAAATAAGAAGGAAAAGACCAAAAGGTGCACCTCCACTAAACATATGAATATATATAGGGACACTCTTTGTTTGCATTGGGTCTTTTTTCTTTGCGATCCCAGTAGTCCATCCAACCCCAAGACAGGTATAAGGAAAGCAAAAATGGAGTCCAGCGCAGAAAAACAACAACAGTATGTCGATGGGGTTTGGACCACTCCCCTGTTGTTTCTCTATCGGCGAAGGTGCACTCGAATTAGAGATACACTATGTACATAGGTATAGAACAACAAAATGCCCGAAACCAAGCTATCGCACGAAGCCTACACCGAGATCCGATCGGGTGTGTGTCCCTTCGGGAAGCACTTCTCCAGCATGCTCTCAAAGACTTCGGCCATGTTGGGAGTTCTCTCAGAGCTGCCACGGATTGGCGTGTATTGGGCTTGCGATATGTGGTACTTCCTCTTTGCTTCCCGAAGGGACAAACAACCCGATCGGATTTCGGTGTAGACTTGGTTTCAGGCATTTTATTGTGTTCTATACCTATGTACATAGTGTATCTCTAATTCGAGTGCACCTTCGCCGATAGAGAAACAACACGAGAGTGGTCCAAACCCCATCGACATACTGTTGTTGTTTTTCTGCGCTGGACTCCATTTTTGCTTTCCTTATACCTGTCTTGGGGTTGGATGGACTACTGGGATCGCGAAGAAAGAAGACTCAATGCAAACAAAGAGTGTCCCTATATAAACTCATATGTTTAGTGGAGGTGCACCTTTTGGTCTTTTCCTTCTTCTTTTATCATTATTTTTGCTCTGCAGTCCCGTACCCCCATTGTGTATACTACTTAAGTAAATCAAGCTGCATAGAAACAGAGTTGTCTGTGACATGTTTTTCTTATATATGTGGACATTATATGCCATGTAACGTGCTTTCCAAATATTCCAATGCTATTATACTTGACATTTCTCCTCTTTCCAGGCAATAATCCGCATGTTAACAACATCATTATTGGATAAGTTTCGAGGTAATAAATAAATATTCCAACACTCGTTGATTTCTTTCTTCTTATACGCAGGTCAGGGTTTATCAGTATTGAAATGATTAGTCGAAGTACCCGTAATCGTTGCCACTGGACAAATAGCCAGTTTACTAAAGTATCACTGCCGTGTGTGTGTACTGGAAAATCATCCCAGAGTGTTTACGTTGTGCTTGCTTTACTCAGTGACACCGTTTCGACTCAACTGAAACAAAGAAAATATCCCGTATACAACATTAACTTATCTTGAAATAGAAATCATCCGTTATACACCTTATACTTGTGACGTATACTGGAAAGATTAAACATACCAACGGCAGGTCACACCAGAAATGGGCTTCACACATTGTACCCATATGGAGAATTGAACCCGGGTCTTCGGCGTGACAAGCGAACGCATTAACCATTAGGCTACTCCACCACCACTGCAGGCCTACCATGCAAACGGTAAACAAATCATCAAAACTGAACTCATATACACCAAAACAGACCACATATCACCAAAATAGGAAAATAAACTTCCAAAATTGCAACAATATCCTCTAAAACCGAAACGAACGCCTCTGTAATTGCTAACTAATAGTTTGAAATGGAAACCAAACTCATGTATCTGCTACAAGAGTGGCCGAGAACGGTCGCTGAGCCTTCGAAACAGGAGTCATAGCATCCCGAAACGGCACGCAAATCGTCAGTCATCGGCATTCTTTGCCTCGTAGCCTCGCTTTCAGTCTAGAAACATGGCGGCGCGGGAAGACGAACAGGTTTTGGTAAGTAATGGATTTCGTCACTATGAGTGTAATCTTGAAAAACTTATATCGGGATGTAGCGCATAAACACCCTATTGTAGTAAGCTTCTATGTTCATACTTCTCCGTGTTAGGCTTGCAATTCCGCACAATGTGGTCCCTCGTTCGACCGAAGGCGTTTTTTTGTTGGACTTGACTCAAGTCTTGATTAAGTTTTTGTTACATGATTTGCGTTTCTTACAGCTAATAGAGACGATGTGGGTAATTCCTTCAACTCATGGACGCGATATGATATGCAAGCTTTAAAATACTTTTACTTTGAATACGATAATGTACAATAGAATGGAGATTTGTTGTAAACAGTTACTGTTAACATCAATTTAATATTTTACTAGCCAAGAGCCGCGATGCAGTCGGTTAATAATTTAATTATTATGTCAAGATGTTTAAAAATTCTAAATCATATTTGTGTATTTACTCAAGGGACTCGAATACAACGACAACAATTATCGGCTTCCATTAATGAAACTTTGTCATAAGAACAATCACCAGAACATTAGGCAATAGACCAATCAAAACATTTTTAGCAATTTCCGTTTAGATGAATATCGAAAGGTTTAACAGGGTTCAAAGTTTGCTTTTGACTTTCTGATCATAGATAAGTAAAATAAAAAAATCACCAGCAAAAACCAAGATTTTATTTATGCTTAGCTATTAGTTATTCAAGTGTAAATACACATCAATTGTGGTATCAATACACTGGCCCTGAGGGATAATTTGATTATCAACCTCTGGGTAAAATAGGTTTCCTTTGATAAGATTTTCTTTGGAACAAGTAACTATTTTTTTGTATTTCATTTCAGTTTTGAAGATGGGAAGGCATAAATACAGACTAACGTTAAAGAGAAAAAAAGGCGTAGGTAACAATGCCTCAGCACCAAGAGAACTCCCTTCGGACAAAGAAAATACCAGTGCTGACTCAAAAGAGATTGAAGTGGATCACAGCACCCCTGTCAAGAAGCATTGCAGTGATTCATGGGGAATTCCTTTGTCTCCAATTAAGGAAAACGAAAATAACACCCCTAACAGCATTTCACTTTGTATCGAAAATAATCAGACCGGTTCAGACCATGAAGTAAGTGGACTGACATTGTGTGATAAATGTGGAAAGCGTGATGCAGCCTCAAAATCAGTGTCATGCATTCACAACTACAGTTCTGATGCCCTATGTGAGAAATGTGGAACAGAATGTTTGCGGACAGGCACACACACTGTAAGAGGCAACATTGCTAGCAATGAAACACAATCAAAACATTGTGACATTGACTAGCTCTCCACCTTGTGTGAAGCTGCATGTGCTAAATTAATGGATATAGGTAGAGGAGACTTCTTAGAAAAAATGTTGGAAGTTATAGTGTCGGGTAGACTTGACCTTGAAGGGCTTACCTTTCAAATAATATCAGACACTGTAAATGGTCTGAGTGTAGAATCATTGACTCAAATGAGATTCTCATGGCAGTCCAAATGTTTCTGGAAGCTTCAACTAACAAAATGTGGAGGGATGGCTCTCCGATTGTTAAGCGGCTGGAAATCAATTGGAAGTATTTTGACAGAAGAGTGCAAACGTGGATTTCTTGATACAGAAAAATCAGACATTATTTTAGCTGTCCCAGATAATGGAAATTTGAAAAATTTGATCAGTATGATGGAGAATGGCCCCCAAAACTTCCTTCTGGGTTTTCTGGTAAAATTGCGGCTAAGGTTGCAAATTATACCTCTGTACAAGAAAGCAGTGTATGTCTGTCTTTGGATGGAAAGAAAATCACCCCTGGACTCAAAGATGAAAAGGGAGATATTGATCTCCTCGGAATGGAAGTAGATGGCATAACTTTACAAAAAAGACGGGAAACTTATGCAGAAGAACAAGAATTGATTGCAATAACCTGTCAGCTTGTCGAGGAGTCTCAGACCATATCACAAGAAAGTGAACTTGTACAATCTCTTCGGTGGAATATGACCCTCCTAAGTGAAAAATCAATAAAACTGAATGAAGAACTTGATAAGAAGAATTATGCTCTTGACAGATTGAAGAAATTGGGTGGAGAAGACTACAAAAACTCACAGTACTGTTTTGTTATACAGCCGGTTATAGGAGCTCAAGTAGAACTTCGAGAGTGCTTGGAAACTGGTCGCAATTTGAGAAATAAACTTGTGAAGATCCTTGCCACATTGCATAGGAAACAATCACTAGTTCTGGAATCGCCTGTTTGTCTCTCTAAGTTTCTATGCCCTCCATGACATTGACAGTCTCGTGGACAGTGGCAATGAAAGGAAAGAGGAGCTAGAAGCTTTCTTGTTACGTGAAGGGACACAATATGTGAAGCAGAGAAGTAAGGCCTGGTCCTCATTCCGAAAGGAAATAAAGGTCATAGGAAGCACGATTTTCGCAGCTGTAGGAGCGGATAGACTAAAGGCACAACGGGAACACTTTCTGCAGAAATTGAGAGGAAAGGAAGTTCCGGAATTCACTAAGGAAGTACAGGATGCCATAAGACATGTCGAGAAGCATGAGCCAGATGCCCTTGCCACATTCTGCACAAGATTTATTCCTAGTTTTCTGCCTGATTGCGCAATTTACGAAGCTGGTTGTTTCCAAGTTAAGGTCGGAAGTGTTCCAATGTTGGTGTCCCCAGAGGGAATAGTTACAAATATACAAACCGGAAAAGTGGAGGCAGTACTCAAAGTTAAGTGCCCTTATACGGCAAGTCAATACGAGTAGTATTGGTAAATTGTTTACATCTATCCTCAACAAAAGATTAAACATGTGGGCTAATATTAGAGATAAAATTCCTGAAATACAAGCTGGCTTTAGGAAAGGTTATTCCACATCTGGCCATATTTTTACATTGTATGCAATTGTGCAAAAGTACTTAATAAGAAGAAAACGTAAATTATATGTAGCATTTATTGACTTTAGGAAAGCAAACATTGATCGAACCTGAGACATATCTATCAAACATTACAAGCAAGAAACTTAGAAATACAGTTATGAGATTTAGACTTGGCTTGACAGATATAATGATCAATACTGGCCGTAACAAGTCACTCGCCAAACATCTCAGATTTTGCCCTGTCTGTATGGCGGATATCGAAGACGAATATCATCTGTTATATATATGTGATGCTTATGCCGATTTAAGAAAGGAGTACATTCTACAAAAATATCTGGGTCACCCTACAAGGGAAACACTTATAAGAATTTTATCATCAAAAAGACGAATCTGTCCATGTAAAATTAGCCCTGTTTTTAACACCGCTGTCTTTAAGGAAGAGTCTAATTTCTCCTGTCAACTAATCTAACAATGTTATGCTGCTTTCCACTGTTTGCAATGTCCATACCCTGCCTGTCATTACAATACTATGTATACGGGCCAGAGGCCGTATGTACAATAAACCATCTTGATCCTTGATCCTATACGGCAAGTCTCCACACTGGAATACCAGCCAGATATTACCCCAAGGTACAGGCAGAAATGATGGCATTGGACGTGGAGAACTGCTATTTTGTTTCCTACAAGAGTGATGAAACAAGAATTTTCAGAGTCTCGAAAGACCTTGACACTTGGAGCATGGCAGTGGCTTGCATTGAGGAAGTCTATGGTAATGCAAAAGACAAGGTACCAACGAAACTGTCTGAAACTTCCAAACTACTGAGTTTGAAAATCAAGAATGCAGTGTCCCATAATTGCCAGTTACTTGCTCAGGTTTCATCTGTCAGTGCATTTGAGTCTAAGGAAGTGGAAAGCAGCTGTGACACTTTCTCAACCCATGTATTGGCAGACCCCCATGTCAGTATTCCCCCAGAGATACACAAACAATGGGACATGAAGCTGGCGCTTTCAACAATGGAAACAGTTTCTGCCAACAACAAGATTTACCAACTGCTGAGAAGAAAAGCCACATAAGTTGTTACCTTGGTTGCCTAAGACACCGACAGGATCTGGAGCAGGCGTCAAGTAATAGGAGCTCCTATTTGCTACTTCCTGAAAGGATACAGCCTTTCAATGACAGTCATGCAGTCAATAAAAGTGGAATGCATGTTCCCTGTGTCTCTTTGATGGTCAGTTTATGAAACTTGTGAGGGAAGACTTATTTGGGAAGCCTCAAACATTGCTTCAGGTACAGAAGCAACACTGGCATAAGGTCACCAAAATGCAGAAGACAGCCATCATTGCTGAGTTCAGGGATGAAGAGATCATCAGAAA